CCGCAGGCACCGCGGGCATCCTCCGGAGCCGAGCCGAGCCGAGCCCCTCCGGCGGGGCCTGGGATCGCTGGCGCCGGGTTTCGGGGTGCCGGGCTCTGGCCACTTTTGCCGGGCTAGGCCCCGGCTTCCTTGGGTCTGGGGAGGTTTCCGGAGGAGTGCTGCCCACCGGCTGCCTCCCTCTCTCTCTTCAGGGCTGCCCTGTCTCTCGCTCACGCTTTTTCCACCCCTGCTTGTTTGACTCCTTTGGCTGAACCCTGTGTTACTCTATATGGCATCGAGGAAGGTTTGAAGAGAGGTGGAGAAGAACGGATGCCCTAATTGAGGGAAGTGCTGTCCCTTATCTCTTAGTCCTGCTAGGTTTTGTGTGAAGGAGGTTTTATGTGTGGTGATGCTAAATAATCAAGGCCAAACTTTAGAAATATTTCCTGAGAAGTGGCTGTTGATTTTGGCATTGTGATTTCTTTTTCCTTTAAAGCACCCTATCATGAAGCTTTCTGTAGTCTGAGAAGTAGCCATAAAAACAAGTGAACAGCACCCCACCCCACCCCCCGCAACTCAGCTCTTAAATTCACAGTAGAAGGTAACTGAGCTGTAGTATATTGGATTTTGTATCTAATATTTTCTGTTATCATTAAATAACAAGATGTTGAGGACTCTTTAGAGAGCTACTGAAAGAACTGGAAATTCAGTTTTCTCTATTAAGAGAACTGAAGAAACTAACTGTCTAGCATATCTGTGAGTACTCACTATAAAAATGTGTATCATCTTGCCTTGTGGTAGCTGTCATCCAAAACTTCTTAGTCCTCAAGATTTATGTAACCTAGTCATTAATGTTTTATAAAGTTGTAAAAGACTTTTCAGTATTTTTTCCTGTTTAAGATGTAGGTTGCTTGTTTTGCCTTGTGTTGCTTGTTTTGCCTTAAGTCTTTCCTTTACCCCTTCAGTCCTCCAGCTCTAGTTTAATGCATTTACAGAGATTTGCTATCTGCTGCTAATAAGCTGTTTGTCTTGCACGTTTTGTGGTTTGCATACTGTGTATATGACATCTTCAGCATAGAAGGCTGTTAGGAAGTGGAGTGCATATAGCTGAATCACAGTAGTATTTATTTCTGGTTACTATCTGCCACAAAAGTGTACATGTTAAGCATATTTTTGGCTTCTCTGATCTTGACATGTTGTATAGCTGAAGGTAGTCAAGTTGGGTCTTTTAAGGCTGTCTGCTGTTAAATGTCTGACATAGGAAAAGGCACTGATCTGTACCAGGTTTCTGTTGGATTGTTAAATAGTTTTTCCATTCTTTCATTTTTTGGCTGTTCTTTGTGGAAACACTAAATTATGTCACAGTCATGTGAACAAAATATGAACTTGTCTGATCTTCAAGTCAGTTGGCCATATTTGTTTCATAACACTATTAAATTTATTCAGTTATCATCTGAAAACAGTTTGTTTATTCATTCAGTTTGTACCTCACTCCCCTTAGTGTCAAGGCACTACTCTGGGTGGGTTACAACACATGTAATAGAAAACAAAAATAAAAATAGAAACATTAAAACCTGCAGCAATAACCCTAAAAACAGAGGGCACTGACTAATCACATAAACCCAGAGTGGATGGAGGAAAAGGGCAAGGGGGGGGGGGAATGTGGTCCGCTCTGGTCAGTGTGTAAAGCCTCCCTGAAAAGCAGCATATTTAATTGCTTCCTAAATGTCAACAGGGAGGGGATTGCATGGAGCTACTCTGGAAGATGGTTGTATAAAATTGGAGCCATCGTGAAGAAGGTTCTACCTCTCGTAGAGGATTTATGGGCTCCCTTGGGAGCCTCGACTGCGATCATATTGTGGGTTGGGCAGATGACATTAAGGAAAGACACACTGACTAGTAACATGGGCCCAAACTGTGGAGGCCTTTGTATGTGAGTGTCAGAACCTTGAAACTGATCCAGGACACCATGAGCAACCAGTGAAGGTGAGCCAGGACCGGAGTGATGTGGTCAAATTTACTTGCACCAGTAAATGACTGACTGCCGCATGCTGGACCCGCTGAGGTCTCCAGATAAGGCTCAAGGGAAACATTTTATTGGGAAGGGAGTGTATTGAACAACAACAAAGGTTACATGTGATGCACAATAAACATTTTCTTTCACTAGAAGGATTGCACTTAGCTCTAACACATGTCCTTTCTTCATAGAAAATACAATACCATTTCTATTGTGATGTGGAACAGTCCTCTGTCTTATTTATTGAAACCAAAATCTCCTTGATAAAATGATATGTATTCCTACATATATTTTAGTACCTCTGCCATGCATTGGTACAAACCCCATAGATACTTAGTAATACAATATTATTTAATTAAACTTGAAATTTAAAAAAAATCTCAAACCCTGGTTAAATTATATAGTGGTTGTAGGATTGTTTAGTCTAGCATGGAAAGAAGTTCATAGATGTTACTTATTGACAGAATGTTTTCTTATCCACATGTGCTTTATTTATTTGTGACCTCAAAGAAGGAGGCAACTAGACTGCCTCATTTCCTTGAGGCTCCTCTTTCCTACCACATATGATCAGGTAAGTGCCTGTTTTCAAGCCTTGTTTAATCCAAGAAGTGGCATACAGCAGTCACCAATGAATGAAATGCTTGGTGCCATGGGTATATGAAAATGAACATCTTGCAGTATCTCTTGGGTAAGGTAGCCAATTTCCTTAGTCTGGCAAAATTGGACTTCTTTAGCCAAGAGAGCACTTAAGAAGTCCAATTTTGCCAGATGGTGTGATGATCACTTTGTACATTCTGTACAAGCCTTTCTTACAGAGTGTCAGAATAATTCTGTCTCTTAGCTCTAGGATCCAAATAAATATTTAGAACAATGGTGCACAATCTTTGAGATTCTGGGGCCATTTACATACCCCCATGACTCTTTCAGGAGGTGGACTTAAGTCCTCAATGCAAAACTGTAATTGTAAAAAATACTGATTCTTGTGGAAAAACCTACATATTTTCTGCTAGAACAAGGTTTCATTTACTCTAGAGGAGGGGTTGCTGCTTCTGGAGGCTTCCAAGAGCAACAATGCTCATTTTAAAAAAATTGCCCAATTTTTTGCAGCCCACCAATTTTGTGGGCTGTAAAAAGCATTTTGGAAACTGCATGTGGCACACAAACTGCATGATTCTCACATCTGATATAAAATATTCTATGTGAAAATTTTAATTACATCCAGAGTTGCAGTGGGAAAATGTTTTTGGCTCTAAAGTAGACTGCAATTGGTTGTAATTTCCAAACCTATAAAATATATTCCAGCAATCCAAGTATTTATTGGCAAATGTGCTTTAGATTTGGATAAGATACTAAATTATTTCCGGATAGCACAGTATTTCTTGGAAGAAGAGCATTATGTCTCTGGATGAAAATTGTCTCAAAGTTTAGCCTTTTGATGACTGATCTTTTCTGTTTCATACACTTGGGAAGACCTCAAAATACTTAGTCTGGCTTCCAAATATTTATAGACCACAATCCTGATCCCAGTCATTTGACCATTGGCAATGCTGGCTGGGACAGACAGGAATTGTACTCCAGAACATCTGGAAATCATCTTGGGGAAGAGTGCAAAAGGCAATAATATTGTAACAGGGTAGTGATGAACTGGATTCCAAGTTCTGCTAGAATTCTCATGTTATGTTTTACTGTAGGTTTAGTGGTCAATAGTACTACTAAGGTCCTGCCCTGGTGCTAGCTGGCAGTTTTCTTTCTGAGCAAGATGCTTAGGTGAAGCTTCACCAAGCTAAACCTTAAAGCCTTCCAGTTTAAAGTTGTTTTACCCACTGGTTCTCTTTACAGGTTTGGGCAGTTAAGTCATCTGTAGTTAGTCATCTTCATTCTTCTCCAGACCTTGCCTCCAGACTTATGTTGAGGGTAGAGCCAGAACCAAAAGCATTAGAGATCAAAAGAAGGATGGTGGTATTAGTGGTGGAAACTGCCTCATCCAGTTCTATCCCTTCCTCTTAAAAAATTTAAAAAATCACTCAGCATGTTAAAGAAAAGCATTGAGTTAGGCAATTTTAGGCTGCTTGTCCTCATCATACATGCTTCTGAGTTCCATCCAGGGAGATTGATAGGCATGAAATATGGATGCAGCTAATTTTTGGCCATTCTCAAGCTGCATGAAAGATGTCTCTCTTCCCTGTAAATATACTCATGGTATACAGCACATCCCTCTGCGCTTGTCAGACACCTGGAAATTGTGTGTGAGTGACAGAAGTCTGTTTCTCCTGTTAATGTCCATCATCAGGAGATAACACAGCCTGAATATGGATGCTAATAGCCCTAACCCTCCTGAGCTGTGGAGTTTGGTTTGGAAGTCACAGAGAGTCAGAGTTTTGGCTTGGGAAGGCATGGAGGCTATGACTGTTCTTTGGAGAGGATTTGGATTCCAGAATTGTGTGGATACAGAGGAAAGAAAGGCAAGAACACGAAGTGCCAAATGCTGAAGGGTAAGAGCTGGAAGA